AGAAGCTTGATGTTTAACCTAAAGGATACAAAAAATAATGTAAGTGCCTATTTATGCCAGGCTTAATTCAAATGTTTGCCATTACATACCATCTGCTTTTAGTAATTTGTAATTGTTTCCTTTTGCAGGTTCTGTTCAAAAGGGTTCTCAATGGGGAAATTTCTCCTGGTAACTTAATTCGAATGAGTCCGGAGGAGCTGGCCTCAAAAGAGTTGGCTGCCTGGCGACAGAGAGAGAACAGACACGTATGTGATTCTTAATGTTTTCTGGTTGTTGCGCACACGGACGACTTGTACTGGCCTTCTTGTTGAGCTTTGAACTTAGAAGTGAATCTCAAGAGGTCATTTTTACTCTATGTTGAAAGTTTACATATGTTTGGTCAGTTTTCTTGAAGTATGCTTGAATTTGTAAGAGGGGGGGAAAAAACTGAAATGTGTTTCTTCTGTTTTAGACTATTGAGATGATTGAAAAGGAGCAAAGAGAGGTGGAAAGACGACCCATTACTAAGATTACCCACAAAGGTGAAATTGAAATCGAGAGCCAGGAGCCGATGAAAGCACCGGAGCCTGTAGAGGTAAATGCCAAAGTTTAAAGCAAAAATAATTTTTCTTTTTCTTAAACATGGCCAAAAGCTGTTTAATGATACACCCTGAGTTTTTTCTTCTTCTTCTTCGCTTTTAGCTTGAGCCTCTCCCTAAAGTGACTGAAGAAGTACCAGAACCCCCCAAAGCCCTGGAAAGAAAAGAAGAGAATACAAAGGTTGAGAAAGACACTACAAGTCAACACAAGTCTCACTTATTCGACCTGCATTGCAAAATCTGCACAGGTAAGAAATAATTTTTCTGATTGTGATCTTACAAATCAAGTTAGCATTCCAAGCATCCAACTCGGCTTATTGTATTTTCTATTATAAGGTCGTATGGCGCCCCCAGTGGAAGAGGCCCAAACCAAGGTGGCTAAAGTTGCAACCACAGTGGTACGGAGGCATTCAGCTAAATCAGAGGAGGGGAAGAGCACGCCGCCGCCTCCAGTCGACGACGACCTGCACCTCACCGTTTTGAAGGAGAGCTTCAGAAATGCCAAATCAGGCTTTGAAGCAAGGTGGGAAGCACTGTTTGACCTTATATGTATGACTTTGCCTCTTGCAAGTTTTTCTCACTTTTTTTTTTTTTTTTTTTGCTGCAGGTCAGATCACGTGGCTGGAAGAGATGAAGAAGCCGCTTTCCTTTCCAACTTGAAGTCCCTGTGGCGAGGATTCATTCACATGCACTCGGTGGCAAAACTTGTGACAAAAGCTTTTCCCGTCTCAGGCATTTTGGACAACTTATCGGAGGTAGAGTGGATGCGGAGAACCATGTTCAGATTCTCTCGTAAAAAGTAAACACTACAGCGAAGTGCAGTTGGAAATAGGCGTTCAGGTGCAGCCTATGAGAAGTGTCTGGATTAGCAGCTGTGCGCCTCTTACACAGCTCAACAACACTCAGGGAGTAACTTCAACACACACGAAAAAAAAAAAAAAAAGTCAGAAAGGCTCAAATCGTTTGACTGCACCGTAAGTGGCTGTTACCTGTGAAGCAGGCACAAGAACTGCAGAGACGTGACCCAGATACTTGCAGCGTCCTTGCACTGCTTAGAAATTTAATACTGTAAAATAATAATAATAATAATTAAAAAAAAGCAACACAATTTTACTTTGTCAAATAAAAATTAAGTATCCAGTGTTGAGAATGAAAATCCTGATTGATGAATCATAATTTGTATTGACACATGGAGCATAAAATCAGCCAAGAAAAGCATTCAGACTTTATTTTATTCACTTTCAGCGCTGAAAGGAGACGATTTTACCATTACATTCGAGAAGAGTTTAAAAAAAAAGTCTGTGCAGCGTCTGAGGAGAAGGAGGAGGGTAGCTGATTATATGGACTGAAGACACTCCCTGAAATCACACCATGTCTCTGAGTCCCTGATAAGTTTCTGTTTCTCTGAGGAACGAACCTTAGTGTCTAACAGAATCAAAAATATAACTCTTTACAATGGACCTTTTGTCTAACAGTATGCGACTCTTTCTCGACCTTGGTAAAGCGTCTCAACACCAGTAAATAGCTGTAAACGGTTTTTAAAAATCTGGTAAATTTGCATTTCTAATTTTGTTGGTTTGTGCTGCGTTAAATGCCTTTTTTTTTTTTTTTTTTCTCAATAGGACCTTCCAGACAGCATCCAGGTTGGTGGAAGGATAAGTCCTCAAACAGTCTGGGACTATTTAGAGAAGATTCGGGCAACTGGGACAAAAGTGAGTATTGGGCATTTTTTCTTCCTTTAGAATCGAGCAAAAGCTAAAATATAAGCTAGTAATCTCCACCTGAATTAATTTAGTTTAAGTATCTTGATGGACGTGGATGAAACGTCAAGGATTTCACTTCATATAGAAGTTTTCTAAGTTGGATTCCAAATTTTTTTTGCACCTAACATTTATTTTACAGACTCAAAGTTATTAGGAAAAATAAGTAAATCACAGAGACACTGAACAGAAATTAGTGGGATTTCAAGAAATATCTTTCCTAGCTTTTCTGCTATGAGTGGTCATTAATGGCTTTCATTAATCACAGTTATGTCATGCTGTGTGTGGGAGAGCAGTCCTGTTCCCATAAAACACCACACAAAGCCAAAATTATTGCAGAGATGACATTTTAAAGTTGCTTCAGCATCTTATATTAACGATTAGTGCAGGTAGTGACTATTATTACCAAAAAAAAAGCAGTTTTTATTTGTATTCTTTGACAGTGTAGATCCTTACCTTCTTTCTGAGAATGCCAAATTGCATGCCAACATTTTCATATTTCAACGGCTGAACGCTCAATAAAACAAAAATGACTGGTATTGTTTTAATGGGTCAGAAGCTGTGGCCTGACTTAAAGTGGATGCCTAATTTAATTATGCAATAATTTATAATGTAATTAAATGTTGTTGTTTTTTTACCAACACATGGATTTTGTTTCATTAAAGGAGGTGTGCCTGGTTCGTTTCTCCCCGGAGACAGAAGAAGATGAGATCTCCTATACTCTTCTTTATGCCTACTTCAGCAGCCGTAGGCGTTTTGGGGTCGTATCCAATAACCTGCGACAAGTGAAGGATATGTATCTCATTCCCCTTGGTGCCACAGAAAAAGTTCCTCATCAGCTTGTTCCCTTTGACGGGCCAGGTAACTAGGGCAAGAGAGCGTTTGTAATTGTCTTGTTTTCATTTTGTGAACTTACTCATGCAACACTTCGAAATAATCGATATCTCTGATAGGTTTGGAAAGCAACCGTTCCAATCTCCTCCTTGGACTCATCATTCGCCAGAGACCAAAAAGAGATTTCCTCACTGTGGACGTGAATGAATCTACGAGGATTGTCCCAGAAACCAAGCCCATCACAGTTACCACGAAAGTCACAAGAACCACTGAGGAGGAGGAAAAATTGTTCCTGTCTTCTCTGACCGCTCCCCTCAAAAAAGAGGTGGAAAAACCCCTCGATACTAACGAAGACGAGCCTGTTGCCGATTCCTCTGAAGAACCGGCTGCGGCAGAGGAGCCGGGGAACCAGGAGGCACAAAAGCCGCTTCGCTTTCTTCCAGGTGTGTTAGTGGGATGGGGAGGGGAATTACCTCCTCTGCCAGATGTCGGAGATAAACCCGCGACAACAGGACACGACACCCCGAAGACCAAGCCTGCTCCCAAAACGGATGCATCAGCCGGTGACTCAAAGGGTCCGACAGCTGGTGCCTCTTCTCGTTTTCTCATCAGGAAGAAAGAAACTAAATCTGTTAGAGCTGAACCGGAGCCGCCGTGTCCGTCTAACGCCTCTGCTTCCAACACCTCCTCGGGAAAAGTCTCTCCTGTTGTGGTCCATCACACATCAATCACACTGAAAGATAAGCCCCCAGATGTATCGACTGAAGCGTTCCTGGTGAGCATGTCGGCATATCCGAGTGGCACTGAAACCGGCGGTTCTGCCTCAGCAAACAAAAGCAGCTCTGGCCCATTGTCTGAATCTGAAAAGGAAACAAGTGAAGGGAATTCGCCGCTGCAGTCAGAATCCCAGGCTACTGCAGATCACACAAGCAGCTCAAAAGCTCCTTTAAGTGGAATACTGAAAAAGTCTTCAGCGTATTCCTCTGAGAACGAAGATAAAACAATGGTGCTACAAAAGGAGAAAGCCTGCCTTCCTGATGTTTCAGGTCCTAAACCAGTCCCCGTGTCGAGCAGTATTAAAAAAGATCCACTGTTACCATTTCACCAAGGATATTTGCAGCTCTCACAGGCCAGGCACAAGCTGGAAGAAATAAATCAACCCACTTGTAAATCATTTCCCAGTAAGGAAGATCCAAGCCCGACTCATCCTGGTGCTGCAGTTAGTCAAAATCCGAATCCTCCCGAAGTCCAAGGACATCAAGAATTGTCAAACACAGAAGCCTCTGAGCCAGTCTCTGGCAGCTGTAACAACTTAGGTGCCACGACTTCTAACACTATATCCAACTTGAACACAGAAGACCAGAATGTTAACATGCAGGGAGATCAGGACGGCACTTCAGAGGCCCTTCCTCCGCATCCCGAAAGCCTTTCAGAGCCGACCAGCCATTTATCATCCGGGGCCAGAGACCAGAAACTTCTAAACGAGCGCTACACCGACCCCTGGGAGAGGCCGCGAAACACCGAAGACAGAGACCACTACGGGAGGCACAGCTACCACAAGGACTCGTACCACGAGAAAAAGAGCCGGCACCACGACAGGGAGCGGGAGAAAAGGTACGGCGACGACGACAAGCACAGGGAGAGGAGCAGGCACCACGGCCACTCAGAAGACCGCCACGGCGAGAGGAGGAAAGAGAGGCACCACAGCAACGATTACAGCGGCCATCACAAGGACAGACACAGGCACAGGCGGGACTCTGACTACGAGAACGGACGTAGAAGTTCAAAAGACAGCTACTCGTCGTAATACTGTTGCTTTGTTTGTTTGTTTTAAATCCTGCCTAAAGAGTGTTTTGAGCTCTTAAGGACTTGAAGCGTGTTGATCACATGGCTGGTACATGCCACTTTTCTACACTGGCAATTGATAAAATTATTTTATACAACAGTGAAGTTCCATTTTATGTTATTAATGGTGCAGCCAAATGAGATCCCAGCTGTTTTTTTTGTTTGTTTTTTTTTTATTCAGACCAACAAAAGAATACTGGAATGGTTTAACGATTTATCTCTTCTGTATCTTGTTTATATTATACTGCTGTACTATCAGTCTCCCGGTCACATGCAACAATGTGGGCGAACGGAGAACATAAGATGAGCTCCACATTTTAGCTTGAATGTTTAACACAATATTTAATTACGGAAAATCTAAACAGCAGCTTTGTGCTTTATTTCCTATTTTAATTTCTTTTAAACTGCTTCAATGTTTTATAAGCTTTCGGTTGAGAAAGTGTGTACATTTTGGCTTGTAATATACACTAGAGATGTGTGCCTTTGCACCGTGTGTTTATGTACAGTTCATAATAAAACTAATCCTTTTGTATTGGTAATTATTACCAAAGTTGGGTCTTTTTTTTTTTTAAGTTGCTACGTTCAGTAAAAATATACAAGTGTTAACACACCTTTAAAAAAAAAATGAATAGCATGATCTGCTTTTATTTAAAACCAATTAAAACAGTGTTGCCCTGAAAAGCGTGATGGGTGGCAGTCCTTTAGTTTCCACACCATACCTTTGGTGGTGTTCACAGGCAGAAATATTTGCCCACAGCTGACTTTATATTTCTTGCAATTGAGGAAAAAGTAGCAGCAGAAGAAGTTTGTTTTGTCAACCAACTGAACAGCATTTGGCTAAATCATTGCAACATTTAAAGGAGGGACTATGCTTTGTTACTTTGTAATACCAGAGAAAACTGAGGATTTGAAGCCCAAAGCCACAGTTTGGCAGACAATATTTACATTATTAAAACCATAACATTTTGTAGCCTTGTTGTACCTTGATAGTGGTAACCAGTCAATGCAGAGTTTTTCTAAGGTGAACATTTAAGATTCCAGCTTTGGTCTTTATTTGATAGTGGTCAGACAGGAAAATGGGTTGAGGAGTGGTCATAAGACAGGGCCTCAAACCTGCGACGGCCACGTCGAGGACTGAGGCCTCCGTATCTGGATCTGGTCCAGGTAAATAATCAGTCTTTAAATGCAGAGCATATTGAAACTTGAAGCAGATGGGCTACAGCTGCAGAAGACCAGATCAGGCATTGTCAGCCTAAGAAGAGGAAACGGGTGGCAATTCAAACAACCTCACCAAAATTGGATAGTTACAGAACAATAATTTGATGTTTGTCTCAGTTTGAGCTGCAACACAGCAGGACCACAAAACCATTGATCCAACCTGTCTTGTATAAATACTATGTTGACAATTGAGAATCAAACAGCCTGCTTGGTTAATGTTACCAACCATGTCCAGTCCTGATAAGTACTGTTGACAAGATAATGCTTCATGCCACAAAGTTTACATAATCAAAAATAGTTTCTAAAAGTGGATTTATCTGAACTCCAAACTCCTCATAGTCGCCTTTAGGAAGTGGTGGAACGGGAGAGTTCAATCCTGAATGTTCATCCTACAAATCTTTAGGAATTGGGTTATACTATTATGTCAAAATCTCCCAGGAATGTTTCTAACAGTTGTTGAATCTATGCCACTTAAGGCAGTTCTAATGTACTAAAAGGGGTTCAACCCATGAATAGCAAGATGTGCATAATAAAATGACCAGTGAGTGCATGAATGGCCAATCTCTGGAAAGATGCTAAATTATTACCAGGACAAAAAAAAAAAAGTGAAATAGAGAACTTCAAATTCTTCATAAATATGATTTATTCATAATTTTTTTGTGTGTTTTGAATGCAACTCAGTTAAATCACTATTACGCTACAAAACTACATACAGTCTTCAATAAATATCCAAAGTTGTAGATATCCAAAGTTAAGAGTTTTACTATCATTCAGTGCCTTCAAAAATATTAAAGCCTTCACTGTTTTTATGAAAAAGCACCGGGTTCCCATCTCCGAACAAAAACACATTTCTAATACTTCCTTCAAAACCCTTTGAAAATATCCCAGAGGTGACCACTGATACATTTCTGTAAAATTCAAACCCGCCAAAGTAAGCCACACCCCCCGAGTTTAAGGCTACATATCTCTCAAATGGGTCCAAATCTTCAAACAGGATTTCCTCGTTGTTGAGAAACGCTCGAATAACAGTTCGGTTAAGACTTAAAGACACGTTATGCCATCTTCTACAGCAGAAATTGTGATTTCTAAAAGTTACTGGAAGGGTAAGTCTTTCTCCAAGATTAACTGCAATCTTCAGATTTCCTTCCTCAAGTCCAACTGAAAGGTAGTCGTCATCTTCCTGTTCGGCCATCCCTAGCCACACTATCAAACCGTCACTTGAACTGGCATAGACACTAAACGAAACCTGTGTGAATTTCAGGTTTCTTGTGTTAAACCTCTGATCTTTGTATTTAATGTGAGAGTTTCCAACAAACCTGAATATGTCTGTGGACAGTCTAGTGTCGCAATGTGTTCCTCCCCATCCTAAGAGACAAATGCAGCTGTAGGAGAGCACAGTAGATGGAGATGGAGCACATATTGAGCCATGTCTGCAGTTGTTGTTTACACAGCTTACAGACTTGTTGCACTGAGATCCAGTCCATAATGACGGACATGTACATATGAATGAGTCAGCCCCTGTAGCTTTACATTGACCGCCGTTATGACACACTTTGTATCCACAGGCTGTGCCTTCCCAGTCCTCGATGTTTGCTCCACCAATAGCTCCTGTCTCTGTTAGCTCAAGTTCTCGACCATTGATTATGAGTTCTCGCAGGCCGCCGGTGAAGCTCATTGGTTCATGCTCAGTTGCTTCAGGGCAGACAAAGCTCAAAGTGGACACTCCTCCGACAAATATATTAGTTGCAACATCGAGTGTAGTCATCCCCTCAGTCCTGTTTTCTCTAACCTCCTCGCTGTCCAGGCTGAGGAAGCCTTGGTGACCGGTTCGGCCAGCCTTCACCACATGCCATCTCCTGCCACGCAGGTCCACAGTCCGGATTGACTGCAGAACATGGGTGCCATCACCTAAATTGTATCTCAACTGGACAAACCCAGATGTCAAGGAGAGACAGAAGAAATCTCCTGAAAAAAAACAACAACAAAAAAACAAAGCATTTCTATTGTTAGCTGTCAATATTTATTTTTTGTGGTGGATAAAACGGTTCAAAATATCATATTTGTAGGTATTTCTGTATAATTCTTCTTGGTAAAGTACAAAAATGTTTAGCATTTGGCACTTATTGTGAATGTAGATGTTGCAAATGTTGACTTATGACAAGCAGGGTAAGCTGTTGGTTGAGAACTTTGTTGTCATTGTTTTATTTTACAGAAGCACAATGATTAGCAATGGTTGGGAAGAGGTTGGATTAGGATTAGAAATATGGCTTGAGTTAGGTTTGGTTGTTGGATGCAGAGTTGGAATGAGGGCTGGAATTATGGTTGGAGGGAGTGTTGGAGGGAGAGTTGGATGTGGTGCTGAAAGGAGGTTTAGGACGAGGCTCAGAGGAAGGAAGGCTGGTAGTGAACCAGTGTCTTTCACTACCACTTCACTAGTGTCTTTTACCCCAGACTAAGCATAATGTAGGGAAAAACTTGAAGAGGGATTTTATGAAATCTGTACAAGATATGACAAAAGCTAAGATAAACAAGTAAGTTAAGGATAGGCCGAATGTTTAAAGTTTGAATAGTGTTTCTAGATGCAACTACGTCAAAGTACTTAGCAGAATTTTATTTCAATTGGGCCCAAGATGAGCAGAAAAAGCTGAAAATTTCATAAACCATAGAGGATGTTAATACCAAAAGACATAGTTATAACACACTTAATGAGCAGAATATGGGAAAAGTTGAATGGTTGAAATAGCACAAAGTATGCAAGAAGAAGGTGATCTTTAACTATAGATTAAACGTCATCACCTGCTCTGGCACCAAGATGCTGTGCAGAATAGACAAGGATGCCATCAGGTGACAAAGGCTGAAACTGCAGTTCAACAACAGTCCTGTGCCGAATGCTCATTGGAGGAAATGACATCCACGAAGACTGGTTAGTACTGAAGGATGGGTCTGTGATCCTCACAGCTGAATGGAAAAGACAAGGCACAAGTTAACTTAAAAAAAAGTAACCCACAGAAGATATTTGCCTTATAAAAATATAAACAGTATGCAGTTCCTTGAAAGATACTCATACCACTTGCACTTTTTAAATTTGTGTAACATTACATCTGCAAACATCAATATATTTTACAGAAATTTGACTTGATAAATCAACTCACAATACTGTATATTTGTGAAGAGGAAAGAAAAGGAAACGTTACTTTTTTTTTTTTTGCTATTAAAAATGTGTAATTCTGCCCTGAATTTGTAATCACCCAGCTTTTAACAAGTGGATGTTAAAAGCCCTTTTCAACCACTTACTCATTTGAGAGATGTCTCTACCAGTCTTGCACAAGCTTTGATATAAAATTTGGTCAATTTTCTTTACAAAATAAGAGAATGAGCTTCAAAAACACTTCCATCAAGTATTTTTCTCTATAACTCTGAACATTTTTTTTTCCTGAAGAAAAACATCCCCACACTATTGTGCTGCCGCTACAACGTTTGACTGTGAATTGTGTGTTCAGGATGATGTGCAGAGTTATTTTTCCATCACATATAGCACTGATTTGTCTCAGGCTTTCTGTGTCCCCAACATAACGCATAGCAAACTATAAAACATTTTTTTTGAATAATGTCTTTCTTCACAGACCTTTTTCATTAAAGACCAGATTTGAGAACTGTAGAGATGACAGATTATCCTACCTGAACTGTGGATCTCTGCAACTCCACCAGAGTAAGCAGCTTGTTGGCTGCTTCTCTGATCAATATTGACTGTGCAAAGCCTACTGGTTAAGGTAGAAAAAGATGTCTATTTTTTTCCTAAATGGTCAGGAGGGAAACTCTTTTTATTAAATGCATGACTTATGAAGGCAATTAGTTGCATCAGTGTAAATGTAATTTTTTTTATATAAAAACTCTCCAGTTAAGCACAACTTTTTGTTGTTTTTTCACAGAAAGTCCCTCTAAAAATATATCGCCATTTCCGGTTGCAGTGTAATGTGTAAAAGTACAAGAGCTATAAATACTTTTGCAGGAGGCTTTATAAAAAAAATAAATAAATAAATAAAAAAGGATTGATAGGTTCTGCGTTGCAACCTGTCTCACAGTGGAGTCCTGCAGTCCCCAAGGGGCACTGGCAGGTATATCCATTCGGCAGAGGGATGCAGGTGGAGCCATGGGTACAGAGAGGAGGGGGCCGGTGTTCAGGATCACACACAGACACGGTCTCAGTGCAGAGGGTTCCTTTCCATCCGGGCGGGCATTGGCAGCTGTACATGGGAACAGTCGAGCACATTGTAACACCTGTAAATTCTGCCATTCCCTTTACTTATATGCTTTGCAACAACACTGACTAGAAATATTACCACAACACGTTTGTTTTTGCTCCCTTTTTGCCATGAGCTGAAGTCAAACATCCAGACCTTTTTTTTTATAGACACAATAGATGTGTTTTTCCCAAATGCGGTTCACAAATCCGTCTAGGTCTGTGATGGTGAGCACTTTTCCTATGCCAAGATAATCCATGTAGCCTATCAAGATGCTGATTACAAAGCATGATTACTGCACAGGAGTGCCTCAGGCTGGTCACAGTAAAAGGCCGCTGTGAATTGGGCAGTTTTGTCACATGGCACAATGCCGCAGATGTCACAAGTTTTCAGGGAACCTGTCACCTGGCATAAGCCATCTCCAAAAGCGTTTTAGAAAATTTGGCAGCACCTCCAACTGGGCTCAGAACCTCAAATCACGTGTAACCACACCAGCACGGGACCTCCACAGACAGGTTTGAGAACAATACTTGAGAGAAATGGGTTTATTTTGCATGTAGAAAATGTTTGGATGTCTGAGTTCAGCTCATGACAAAATGGGGGCAGAAACAAAAGTGTTGCATTTATACTTTTGTTCAGTATAATTAAAATCTAGCCATTACAAAATGGAATCACTGCAAAATATAACCCAATGAATCCCAAAGATTTTTTAACTCACTAGACAGATGAACCAGAGTCCACACACGTCCCTGCATTCCTGCAGTGAACATGAACACAGGGGGTGACTCCACATTGACCCACACTACGCCCGAAGGCTGGAAGCCCTGCAGGTTGCCCCAACGCTTGAAACTTCCCATCTCTCCTGGTCCGAAACTGAACATCAAAGATGCACCCTGTGAAGGGAGCCGATACAGATGTTAGAGAGGCATTTTTTTATTTTAAGCAAGTGGACATAAGTTCAGATCCAAAGTGTGATCCAAATACGGATGGAAACAGCATAAAGCACTTACAGTGGGCGTACAGGTTGATTGTTACACCAACATGGATTCAGGGAAAAGGGGGAAGAGGGGAAAAGTGACTAATACAAGAAACAAAAACATGTGTAACAACAGATACAGAAAAAAAAAAAAAAAAGAATATATATATATATATATATATATATATATATATATATATATATATAGTTAACAATACCTTAAACATACATGATCTGGTATGTACAAAACTACAGATTCCACAATGGCATCATTTAATAAACAAAAATGAAGCCAAAATGGCGAAAATAATGGGAAAATAATGAAGCTATAATAATAATAACACGCATAAAAGTTAAAATAAATGATCAAATAAAATAAAACAAAATAGACAAAAAATAAATACATGCAAAATACTATATGCAATCAAAAAATGGGGAGTAGTTCTATTATTAGTAGTAATATTACCATATTTATATTTATTAAATCCACCGACTTGCACCACACGTCTACTTTTTAATTTGACGGTCCTCTATGAGATCCTCTCCATCTGCTATCAAGCTTATCCATCTCCACGTTTGCTTTTTGCTATTACAATTCAATTTTAGCGAGAAAATATTTGTTTTGGCCTGCACCTCCAGCGCTCGGGGCCTTCTATAAATAAAAAGGGCCGAACTCGACCCTCACAGTCATCTGCCCATACAGACTCTTTTCTCTCAGCTGCATTAGTCATTGGCATAAACAGGATGCCTGGGAAATGTCATGCTCATTCATGAATATTCATGGCATGATGCTGTCTGCTTGGCAGATTCAAGTGGTTGTTGTGATGCAAACACGCAGCGTCAAAAAAACAACAACAAAAAAAAAAACCCAACAAACTCCCAGAAAATTAACAAGGAAGATTAGAAAAGACGGTTTGCCTCGATTTAGCTGTGTACCTGTTCGTTCAACCAAGAAACTCAAAGAGTTAGATTCAGCAGTTGCACGCCGCATGTTCTTTCAAAGGCTGTAAATAATTTGCATTGTGACACAACGTAACCCAGATTCATAGCAGAACATTTCCCTAACTTAATCTTAATCTACTGAAGTTTTATGTGACAGGCCAACACTAATCATTGCATAATTGTGAAGTGGAAGGTGTAGGATGCATCATTTCAACATTTTTGCCTAATAATTTGTGGAACGGAGATGAAATGGAAAAGGAAGAAGAAAGCTATTCTTGGAAAATAAGCAAACCGAGTCGTATTTACAATTTGTCACAAACCACAAAAGGGTTAGAGTTGATGTGTGGAGATAAAGTAAATGCGCAAATATTTCTAATCTCTAGATGTGACACTATCCGATAAATGTGCAGTTGCAATTGCACTGAAAAGCGGTTCTACAAAGTATTGACCCCCGGGGGATGAAGAAAAATGCATGGCGCGATTTTTATATTTCTTTGGAAACATTTTTGACTACATCTTTTTCCATCAACTGCAAAATCCTCATAGTATACATTTGCAGTTGCAGTGTGACAAAATGTAAAAAGTTTCAAGCGGTACAAATACTTTTGCAAGTGGCTGTATTTGGAATCAGCGACAGAAACGTGAGGGCAATCATTTCTGTTTTTGTTTATTTGATCAGCAGTCTAAACAGAGCGACTTTCTATCCCCCTGCTGCGGCAGCCACACAGCCTGCTCTTTCACTTTTCCAGCAGGGGAGTGTGGATCTGTTGATAACCGGGACTGAAGTGCATTATCAGTGTGTTCACTGCCAGCCATCATGATTAGGGCTCGAGGAAGGTCACACAGATCTGATTAGACGCTCATGAGTTCTCATTACATCCTGAGTAGAAAGGTTACGGTTCCACCGGTGTGGCCCTGCTCAGGTAGCGCTTTACAGCAGGCGATAGTGACACAGTTAACACAGCAGGAAAAGAACAATGTCTTTACTTTGGTTGATTTGATTTTTGCCTTGTCTGGCGAACAGAGAAATGAATTCTAGATGATAAAGAAGAAAACATACAAAGCACTCCGGTCCCTTATGACTAAAAAGCTTTTGTTCCACTCAAACTGATCAGCCGTGACTTTTTTTTATAATGACAAGCTTCATTGCTGTGGTGCAGAGATTGCCAAATAGGGTTATGGCGCTATTCATAGCGGCTGTCATCATTACAGTGGTGGCAATTTTTGCTGCACAGCACTTCACATTAGTAGGCAAAATGAATACCCTCCAAAATCAGTTCTCACAGAGGGTCGCCAGGGAGAGAGCATAAATGACGCTGGTGTTGACAAAAGATTATTTGGATAGTGCCCTTGTTCAAGTGACTTATCAGTAGTGGAATGAATTTACACACAACACACTGTACAGGGTGTGAAGCAATTACAGAGTGGAGATACAATCAACCTCAAAGCTCTGTTCTGGCCTGTAATTCCCTTTTCATTACAGACCTTCCCTCTGCTTGCACAAAGACAAAGATCCTGGGAGAAAGTCCAAGCCCCAGTGCTCCCGCTGCAGATAGCAGTTTTTTGGGCTGTAATAAAGCCATTGAAGTCTTACCTTGAAAGCCTTGACGGAATCTGGAGCCAAGTGGCAGCAGTTCAGGGGTGAACTCATTATATCCACCTACAAAGAGCTGGTTGAAAACATTGAGGCCCACCAGAGGTCCAGGAGAATATCCTGTTCTGTTCCGCTGCCCGTCAACCTGAGGAAGACGTATGGTGAAACATCAATATTCACGCCGGAGCCTCGCATCTGTAGGCGTCGGGAGTAGGAGGACAATTTCACAATCTGCTGAACCTGGCTAAATGTGCAATCTCAGATTTATCGCTCAGTCCGTGTCCACTTAATAGTCACCCTCCCAGGTTTTTGCCTCTAAACAGGCTTTTATAGGGCACCGAGTCACCAACGCTCTCAAACCTTGTTTTAGACAAAAAGAAAAAAAAAAAAAAGAATCACTGCCTCCAGATTTTTACACTAACGTCAGATGATGCAAACATCCTGTTTCACTGGTTACTACAGTGAATTGACTTGTTCAGAAAATAAAGTCAATGCTTTACAAGAAAACACAACAGCATAAGAAATACTTCAACATCATTTTGAGTATATGAGCATTGTTCAGTATATGCGCTCCTGTCATGTTCCAAGTTTAACAAAAAGGAATAAGTTAATGAGTTAATAAGTTAACCGTGAATGCTTATTCACGGTATGGAGTGTTAAAGTAAGGCTTTTATATTTTATTAAGTATGTTTTATATTTGACCACAGATGCCACGAGAAACTGGCGGGGCGACTGGAATTAAACATTTTTCATCCTGGAACTTGAGTTTTTTGCTAAAAAGAAAATGATCTTCTACTAAGACAGACGATGAACAAACCGCTGTGAAAATCAAAGAAATAACGCAAAAATGTAACAAAGCATTGAATTACCTTCAGCCACCCTGTTCTTTTGGACCTTCCAAAGATAACGGTGTGGATGACGATGTGATAGTTGAGCCGATCGCTGACTATGGTTGCTATTCCTGACCCGAGGTTAAATCTGTGAACAACTCTGCCGCTTCGTAGTCCTAAAACAAGGAAGTCGTCCCCGTCATTGCCTGAAAACATGTGGTCATGGAGGTCATTAGTAATGATCGGAAATGTAAAGTAAACGTCCTAACTTAGACATAGGTACATATTGCATTCTTCATATGGTCACTGGTGATGGTAAAAATGTGCATAAAACCTAGACAGAAAGTATTTCTTATAATTTCAGACAGAAAAAAAAAATATGTGCTGAATTTAGGTCCTTGTTCAGCCTTGTTTGTCACAGTTCCAGTTGTTTTAAATGTAAATTATTGCTCAGACTGTGGATAATGGACATATTTTAAGAGAATTTTCTTGCTGCCATTTTACGACTTAAGACACATCTTTTCTACTTGAATGGCTCTGCTGATTTAATTAAAAATAATTACTTCTTAATAGTTTTTTTCTCTTAACAAATAATGTATTCACATTAGAAGTTAGATTTTCCAAAACTTTCAGCATGGATGCCAACAAATACGGAGGCGCTGGCTCCCCGTTATTGCTTCAGCAAAGTGTGTGTGTGCTTCTTGAGCCCACGTCAAATAATTAGTGCTACTACATTCCTTGATGATGCTGACAAGAGATGCCACTTCATTAGAGCAGTTATCCTGTGAAATGTTCACATTTAATCTATTCTTATGTTGTGCCTTTTGCTCCAAGCGTACAGTCACAGCACACTCTCTTCACAAGTGTTTCATTATACGCATTGCTCTTGTATTGTTTTGCCTCCACCTTGATGAACTGATCTCTCAAGAGAAAACAAGTGCATATGTCTGTAAGATGTGATTTTTTTTTTATCCCTCTTTTTTTGCTCTAGATGAAATGTGCCGCTGACAATGGCGCAGCAGTTACCTGCAACCGAATTTGACCCCGCGGAGGAAAAAAAAAACCCCTGCTAATTTATTGTGAGAGCTGCCAACAGCATCTCGCCTCAAAGCGTGTCTGAAGTTATTCATTTTAAAACTCTCAGGATGATTGGTTTGCATGTTCGGTTTGCGCGAGCCGCCACAACTCTGCAGCACGCAAGTCAGAAACAATAAAACATCAGCTGGAAATCCTGTGATTTTTGGATTGTGAAAATGTTCATCAGCATCAGGAAAAAAAAATAAAAGCCCCTAGGGAGGAGGTGTCTTTGTTTAGAGGAGAGGGAAAGTCCCTTACTTAGTACATTACCATAAACTGGAAATGATCAAAATGGCTTATATAACCTAAAAACGGATCAGTTTTCTATCTTCACTTGCTGGGTTGATTCCTTTAAAGCACCTCTGTGGGTGACAGGGTTCAGCTCACCTTGTCCCTTTTGTCCAGCAAACAGAATCAGGTTGTCTCTGGCAGCAGATGAATTATTTGCGAGCGTGAACCTCAACTTGAACTCGTAGAAGAAACTGAGGCTGGGAATGGAGGTGTAGGCCACAAACGATGTGTAGCCAAACTCATCAGTTCCACTGAATCTGGCACGAGTTATATTGATGGCTGAGAGGAAGAGAGGGGGAGAAGGAAAAAAAAAGAAAAAAAATCTCACCAGCAGCTGTGAGGTCTTCTCTGCTCGAGTGATAATCTAGCAAGAGGTCTGATTCATAATCTGCTTCCTGGTTTACCAAAAGATGGCACTATTGCCCCACATTACAGACCCCGGCTTAAAGAAACATGAATTTTCTTTTCTGATGCTATTAGATGATGACCTGTTTTCAAATACTACCACCTCCTCACTCCTATTCTATTTTCATCAGTGGCTGTTTAGAAGAGATTCTGGCATGCGGGCTTTACTTTAAATTGCGATGTTCACCAGGGTAGCACAATAATCCAGATGATTTTCAATTACAATCTTCAATTTACACATTCAGAATGCATGGTTGATTCAGTAATGTTCCCCTCTGCCTTTTATCTGAGCACACCCATCTACTTGATTTTACACACGGGACTCAGTGTAAATTTGCCCACGCTCAATCAAAATAACACGCTGCCATGTTTAGGTTTTTGCTCATCAATTTTCTTCACATCATTGAGGTTCCCAGACTAAAAAACAAAAAAACAAAAAAAAACAAAAACGTTCTGTCTTCTCTGTGCGGAAGCTCCTTGCATGTTCTTCTGCAGCCTCGGGCGATGGCTAAGAGTGCTTCAGAGCACCCTCTGTGACTGCCCTCGGCTCAGTTTGGCTACTAAATTATTAATAAAGCTGCAAATGCTCCGGTTATTGTCTGCTAGAGCAGTTTGCCTCAGTGAATTGTCATTGCGCTTCTTTATCTGCAAACTGGGCTGTGTTTAATTAGATCGTACACATATGCTGATGTATATCTCTGCCATTAAGTTCTTTGCACTCATGACATCAGACTAGTAATAACACATCAACACCCTAAAGTTAACTAACTAAACTGTTTTTGTCCTTGCATTTATATAGCCCAATAAGAATTGCTAATCAGACCTGATTTTGGTTTTAAGGTGACAACATTTAAACATAATTGCTTTTCTAATGTAAAATGATTGATGTGCAACAAATAGCTTATGTAAATGAAAAAGCAAAGCAGCTCCTCCTAAACTACAAATAATTGAAAATCCTTGACATGGCACAGTGTTCAAAATTATTTTTACAAAGATTTCCATAAATCTAGATCTTGTTTGATTTGTCCTCACAATTTCAATTTAACTAATTGAAATCATCTATCTTCAGAGGATTTAAAAAACTAACAGGTTTCAAGATATATAATACTGGTAATTTTTGAAGTCTTTTGGAGCATCTCACTGTTTTTTTTTTTAGGACTGCACTGTATTTAGCACCATCCATCTTCCTATGAACTCTGATTTCCCTATCCCTACAGAAAAAAAGCAGAACCACAGCATGATGCTGCCTCTACCACGTTTTATGGGATGGCTATGTCCTGATAAATTTGTAGTTGTGCCGTAATCTTTCTTTTATGAGATGATAGACGTAATTGTCCTCTGTGAGATGTTTGGTTAATTTCTCCTTGTCTTGTCTGCTGTGCTTCCTGGTCTCTATATTGCCGTTTGTTTACTAATGTTGTCTAACAAATGTCTAAGGCTTTCACAGAACAATTGAATTTACATTAAGATTAAATGAAACTGAATGGACTTTGTTCTTTAATCAAGGGACTACCGAAGGCAATATGACAGAAACTTATTTGGCAGTATCAGACTGAAGGAGGGGAAATACAATTTTTAAATTGGTGCAAATTTACAAAAAAGTACATATAAACATAAAAAAAGTTTTACTTAGTATTTTACAAACTATCACATTAAAGCTATGCACTGTCATGATACAACCACAAATTTCAAAGCATGAAAATGTTCAAGAGGTATGGCCTCTGACTCTTTATCTTGGATGGATTAAAGGGAATCAGAATGCATCACAAAATGACCCATAAGATGCAACTTTTGGACAGCAGAAATAAACTGCTACATCCAGTCAGGCCATATTAAGTATTACTTCCACTTTGCTGTGCATTTGTGTTATATAGTCCAAACCGGCAGAAGCTGCAGAAGTAAAACAAAATGACATGCAGCTCAAGATTGTGAAATGAGTTCTGACATAAAACTGCTTGCACACAATGTGCATCTTTTTTTCTCTCCTCATCCACAAAGAAGCTAAGGCGACTCATCATTTCAAAAAACAACCCTGGATAAAAAGCAATTTTTTTTATATAATAAAAGGTTAAAAAACATAATAAATCAATTCTAATCAGAGGTGCTGATGCATCCAAAACTTGAACCAAACTGGAGCGTTTGTTAATGTAGTGTATAAAATAAACAAGCTTAGCCACCCTTGGGCAGAATACATAATTTGTTGATCTAAGAGGTAAAAGAGGTGAAGCACTGCAACCCCCTGCAGCAAAATTACCATAACATATTAGCATTGTTCAATGCTAATGCACAGCAGTTGTATTTAATGTTGTGGGCATGATTCAGAACATGACAGACCTGAATTGACTTGAACTCCTTCAAGGGAAGAAGTAATAATTCAGAATTATCAGCTCATAATAACTCCAGAGGTGATAAATCCCTTCTGTGGCAACACCAAGCGAACATCGACTCCTTGAAATAACTGATGGAGAATCTGAAAATGAAGCTATCAACAGGGTACAAATAAGGTTATAAAAATATATCAAAGTGCTTTGGGCAACAATTCTCAATACTTTGAAATATCATGAAGAAAAGGCAGTTAAAGTAAAATGAAAATCCAGAAAAGATCTGCAAGAGCAGCACGACTCCCAGGCAAACCTGCACTCCCACCAAGAAAAACATGAAGTAAAACTCTACTTACGATGTTCTGGATTATGACTGAACAGCCAGGGTTCATATTAAAGTCGACATTATCTGTGATTTAATTACAAAATCTACATTATACAAAGGAGAAATACTTGAAAATTAGAATTGAAAATTAACTGAGCTCGTAAAGTCTTAAGAGACAGAAACAGACCTGTTAAAAAAAGAACGTCTCATCCAATGCAAAGCTCAATCACTAAAGTACTTACCGTAATTTTTAGATTTCTAGGTCACTTAAGTAGAAGAAACTGCACTGATAGAAAGAACAAATTACTCTAAATATCCATTAAATGAAAGTGAAAGTGACCAAAGGAATCATGCTAACACGAAAGAACAACTATTTTAATCAGATCCTAAACTTCTTTTTGAACTACATTAGAGAAGACGAGACAAAAGTTTTCCATCACCAGTAAATTTGGAGATCATTAAAATAAGCAGTGGTGAATTTTAAGATTAAGAACAAAAGTTTTTTCTGTGCTAAAAGTAACAGGGCGTTGATATTTGATATTAGGCTCGTTTTTGAGTTCCTTTTGTTTTAGCAGACCCAAAATCGACAAAATATGTAACTAAACAAAACATTTTAACAAGATAATATTTTTGTAAAAAGAAAAAAAAAATGTGTGACATATCCTTGAAGAATGTTTTCACTATCTAACAGCTAATTGGTTGTTGTGTGTGTGTGTGTGTGTGTGTGTGTGTGTGTGTGTGTGTGTTTCATTATGTCAAATCCTGACGATTATTATTTACTTGTATTTACTTTTTCCTGCTTTGCTGATCTATTTCTGCTCGACTGGAAACATTTGATACGGAAAACAGGATGAGCAACTTTTTGGCAAACCAGACAAATATTCCGTTTTAGTGATGCAAATCTGGGAAAACGTCTAAGAGAGATCTCTATAGTGTACGGCAAAAGTAATGATATCCCTTGAATTTTACATTGCAAGAGCAAACTCCTGTGTAGTTAAGTGGGATTTTATGTAATAGACCAACATGAAGAGTTCAAGCATCTCCACTGATAATGTGGCCACTAGAATGTTTCATAGGAGGAGAATGTGTTCACAGTGGCCTTTTGCACTAACTTCCCACCTCAGTTGTTGGCCAAAAGATTCAATTGCCAAGATATGTGTACATTTAATACAGAGTACAAATAGAACTTGTAATTCTGATACTGAATATTTTTCAAATGTCTGATGATTTATGCTTTCGAGGCATTCCACCTTCATGTCCTTGCCTCTCATTTTCCTTTCTCTTGCTCCTTTGTAGTTCCTTGTGAAATGTGTAACTAATGGCTGCATATCAGAACAAAACAATAAAAATATTACTTGAAAAGGAAAGACTTGCAGCTGTTTCAAATGTCCTGGCAGACGAATAGCGTAAGCTCTCTTCTCCAACAGGAGAGAAGAAAAAAAAAAAAAAAAGACAGCTAGGCTCCCATGTAATTACTGTTGCTATTTTGCAAAGGCGCCACACAAAAAGTGGTGCAAAGTTCCAAGAACAAAAAAGCCCCAGGAGGCAGGGGGAGTGATCACTTTTTGACTTTGATCTAATCTGATGTTTCAGGATTAAAATTCAAATGTCAGCCATGTACTTAGTGTGAAAATAGAAGGTTAGGTTTCTGTGTTTGGCAAGTGGGTGCTGGGATTCTGACGGAGGCTGCGGCATGGCTGAGCGACTTATATGCCAAGCACCCTGCTGCTGCTACAGTCAGTCTAGTCAAGCAAAACCTTTTGTTTCTGCGTGTCACGACCTGTGAAGCCCACAGGTTTGTTTTTTTTTTTTTTAATGGCACTGCTCCGGGGCTGGGTTAAAGATTATAAAACGGCATATGAAATACAAAAAGTGTAAAAAAAGTTAACATGGCAGTCATTTATCAGCTATTAAATGCCTGCATAATAATACTGTGGCACAACTTTATAATCATGTTTGCAAGCTCTATATAGCTGGTGTCAGTCATACACAAGTGCATGCACAGAGAAATAATGTCTTTCACTGGAGATCCAGTCAGAGGAAACAGATCTTATAAACTTTAAATAGTCTTTTAAAATATTCAGCAAAGCAGGAATGAGTTTGATTATCCGACTCCTCTGCTGGAGGAGGACGTTTCTGCCTGCTCAGCACAATTCAGTTTCATTAATCCTTTTTTTTTATTCAACAACAGACTCTGATTATACCAACTGCTCAAGGCTTTCATCCACCAACTGTTTGGAGAGCCAACTCTTAATGAATTTGTATCTGCATTAACCACTCTGCAACGTTCTGAGAGAACCGTGTTTATCACCTACTTTGGTCGCAGAGTAGCCCCTGTCGTCCAGAGGGGCATAAGCAAACGGCCTCCAGCTGTGACTTTGGGATACACGTAGCTCCGTGGCTGCAGGGTCCGCGCTCACAGGCGCTGAGCTGGCACAGTCGGCCCGTGTGGAGTGGCGGGCACTCGCAGAACCAGTCCTCGGCGTCACTGTTGTAAGCAGAGACATCGTTTTAGCTGCCGCTTTCTGCATTGGCTCACAGAACAATGCTGTGGGGGGGGGGAAGAAAAAAGAATGAGATAAATAAACTATCAAGAAAACCCAGCTCTGAGTGGATGGTGAAAGCAAATGTGTCCAGCCAAAGGGAATGAAATTAAAAAAATCTTCTGATAATGGTTGAGAAAAATACAGATCCTATTAAAGCTTTCTCCATCTTAATAGTTACAGCTGGGGCACATTGTTTTGATCTTTTTTTTTTTTGCATAGGTGAATATACACTCTCTGAATTATAACAGCAGGAGGCAGGTCATTAGCAGTATGACAGCCAGAGGAATACCAAGAATTTATATAATAGTTTGTCTCCTTTTCTTTTCTGTTTTCTTTCCCCCGCACTTCTTCTCTCAGCAAGAACAGAAAGATGATCTAACATCTGAAGTGATATCTAGACTGGGACTTTATAAAGTGCTCTTACGACATGCACAATTCTAAAAAAAGGTATAAGATAAGACAGTGGAAGCATCGGTAGGGTTTCAGACCTTTAAATTAATAATGCTTTTTGAGCAGCAGCACTGTAGGATTTATTTTGCTCCTTCAAGAAAATGGCTTCTATGAATGAAATATTTACATTCTGCCATCAAAGCTGAGCATTGTTCGAAAAGACTGTGCCTGCTAAGACACAAAAAAAGGTTTCTTTGCAACACAAAATATGTAATGTGAATGATTTTCATGATTAGCAAATTGAGCTTTCTTTTTAAATACAAAGATACGGTTGAAATCGGATACCATGCCCTGTATAAAAATACAAAAGTAATACATGTTCTATCACTGTCCGGCATTAAGTCATCTTCATATTTATTGTTTTAGGTCAGTTAGGATTAAAAAAGGATTTCTATTAGCTAAAAGCCAAAAACGACTGAAATAACTGTTTTCAAGACTTCTGGTTTTCACTTCAAGAGTTTTGGAAACTCTTACAAGTTTCTCACTACAGCTGCAATTTGTCCCTGTAAAGGTCACAAGGAAGCAGTGTGTGTCTGGAGATCAATTTCACAAGAGTCTTTTAAAAGTTAAAAAAAACACACAAAAAAAACAAAAACAAAACTAACTTACAAGAATGAGTAAGAGAAGTTGATCAAAGCCATATCACCATCTGGACTTTTCAAAATTTCTTGACCATGCAATAACGTTAGAATTTGTCAACTTTGAATTAGAATAAAACTAATTGAGAAGATTTATCTTGCCTATTATTTTCAAATGTATGAGATATAAATAATTTTAGTAATCCTGTCAGGAAATATTTAGTCTGATTTATTATCAGTGAGAATTTTTTTTAACTGTACATACCTGGTTTCATCTGTACATGGCAGCTCATTGTCTTTGCCATCTGTGATGGGTTTTGTTACAGCAAGAGTCAACAATAGAAAATACTGATAAAACGTGCCAGAAAAGGCGCAGATGGTTTTTTTTAATAGACTTTGACAACCGACACGAGGAAGTTTGGTTCTTTTAAATTGGATAAATTGCCGTTAAAGTTGTCAATTAAATGTGATTCTTAAATTGCATGGGGTTTTGTTCGCAAATTCCACATAGTTTCTAAAATAGTCTATAATACAGTCAAGTTACCTCAAGAGCAGACGACACGTTAACTATAGCTATAGGGTTTCTCTATCATGGGTGAATGGTTCAAAGATCTTTATTTTCTACACCAAAGTGTGGCCGAATTTCAGCAAGTCATACTTTTTTCCCCAAAATACAGAGTGCAGGAGCTGTGAACACTGAAAACCGACATGAAGGCTATTTTCACACATGAAATGCAGCTCTAGGGTTGAAATGCTGCAAAGATGTTCCAGACGGGTGGCAAGTGAGAGCGCAAATGTCAGCCGACTTTGTTCTGGACTCGCAGATATTTTCAAGCAAAATCTTGGAGAGATCAGAAAATGTGAGCAGCATTCAAAAAAAAAAAAGCAGTAATTTTTGGTGAGGGTCTTTGTAAGATAGTATGCTAAACAGTACCTTCAATCATTATGCCTTGAAAAATATTCACACCCGTTGAGCTTTCCACCTGTTGTTACTTTACTAAACCTTAATCGTTATTAGGACTTACATGAATAAAATTCAGTTTAACCACTTAACCTGAAAAGTCACCTAGTTAGTAAAAAAAAAAAAACCTAAGCTGTTTGTAATTTAATCTTTGTTTGAATAAATGAATAAATCCATATTTTCTGTGAATGCAAGAAACAAACAGGGGAGGGATAGAGTTATGCAAAAGTTTAAAGCAGGTTTAGAATATAGAATATAAATATACATTTCCAAGCTTTAAATATGCCACACAGCTTGGCTCAAGTAGCCATTACGAAATGGAGAAAGTATGGTACAAGTGTAAACCTATCAAAGCACAGCTGTCCCGTTAAAATGAAAGGGTGAGCAAGGAAAGCATAAAGAGGAGCAGCAGTAAAGAGGCCCATGGTAACTCAGGGAGAATGAAGATCCATCGCTGACAGAAATGCAGTTTCCCATCATCTGCAGCTCACACTGGAGAATTTTAGTAGCTGTGAACGCCACAAACCTGGCCTTTGTGACAAGAATGGCAACATTGCAGAAAAAAAGCATAAGCAAGATATGCTTTGCAATTTTCTATGAGCCAGGGAAGAGACATCAGTCGGCAGATACTGTAAAGGATGAATGGACTCTGGTCAGATGAAAGACTCTCCACTTCAGGGAGGCTTTTCTTCAGCACAGCTAGTAAGAGTTGATGAGAAGATGGATGTTATTAGACACAGCCCAAAACCAGAAGAAACACTGTTCCTGGCTGCCAAAGCCTTGAGACTCAGGTGGACCAGTGACCATAAACATACAAGCACTGCTCCAACGGTACAGTAGAGATCAAAGCATTGTCATGTGTTAGAACGAATTTGTGCAAACAGTTGAAAATTGCAATTCTCAGATGCCATTACATTTTTGCAAGATAGGCTGAAAGAAAATTTTATTCTCTAGATGCACAAAGCTGATAGATATATCAGAAAAAAGCTTTTGTAGCTGTAAGCTGACAGGACCCAATACATACATTTCAGATTTTATTTTGTAACAATTTTTGCTTTTTCTTTCACCTCAGAGGAATGCTTTGTTTAACATCAGAATGTCACATCAAATTCCACCAGTTCCTAGTAACATGCTGTCAAATGTAAATTTGGAATTTTGCACAGCACTGAAAGTTTGATATCGGGAATGGAGTCTTTTTATTTACACTTAGAGGAAAGTTCTTGCAGAAAATGAGTTGATTTGGAAGAAAAATGTATGAATGGCAACTGCAAAAAATATCCTCTGTACATTACTATGATTCTTTTAAATCATACATGAAACCATCAGACACTCAAATTAAATATCTGCAATAAACTTCAAGATCATACCCAAACCATGAACATGAATGTCGGTTGATTTTCATCTAGATGATCATTAATTAGACTGAATGATGTTCCAAAATAGATTTTGGATATTTAGCCAAAATCAAAATTTTGGCTAAACAGTCAAAATTGAGATTTTAATGGTTTGATGTCAGATTAATCTGATTTAATCTGACATTAAACCATCAATTTACAATGATTTAATGTCAAGCCACAGATGATTTGATATAAATTGTGGGTTACATCAAATAAGCCACAGATTATTTTGATAATCTGCAGCTTATCAGATTTTGGAGCTTATGTTGATATACTGTAATTTCCTTTTAGATCAATACATTTCTGATGGCTGTCAATGACAAATAACTGACACAAAGATGCTCATAAGGATTTACAATAATTTGTCTGTAAAGATGATTAATTTCCCAATTCTCAAAAAGCTGTTTGTGAGTCGTCACAACAATGAGATGATTCTTATAAAAGCTGACAAGCTGTCTGTACGTCTCCACCGGGGCTTGGGACCCTTTCTGCTCGGCTATATTTTCTCCGCCTTTCATGTTTGAAAGCTTCTTTGCTGTCACGTTGGCCATGAGTTCCTGGTAATTTCTTCTTCTTCCAGGTAAAGAAGACATGAGAAAAGAGGTCTTCGAATAAAACTCTAGAGCTAAACATCAGGCAACTTTGCAGTAAAACATAACCCTGTTCACCAGATAATCTGAGCTAAAATAACATTTTACAACAAATTCCCCAGTTTTACAAACCTGTAGTAGACTCTGGCTTGACATACCGCTGGTATCTTCAGTTTAAAAAAAAAAAAAAAAAGGAAATCACAACAGATGAGTGTTTTTGAATATATTAACATGTTGCTTTGGTTGTAAAATATCCTTATATTTATCAAGAAATAGTCACAACAAACACAAAAAGAGAATACCCCCAGAAAAAAAAAATGTAGTTGGAAAAAATAAGTTTACATACACCAAATAAAAAGAAACATACACCTTGTTTTACTCACTGTCTGAAGTTAAAACATACCAAACATTTCTTATTCTAGAACTATCTAAATTATTTCTATTTGATAAACTCTGCAATGTTAAGATGAAGACCTAATATTTTATCCTTAAATGTTTTTACTTAATGAAAGAAGAAAAAAATCCATCATAATTTAGAGAAATAAAGACTCAAAAACATCAGTCTGTGTTTAATAATCAATATAAAGTGTTTCACTTAGCAAATTTAAATACTGAAATAAACTAAGTTTTCAATAATAGTCTAAATTATTGTAATAAAAATTATATAAGATATAGTTGTATAATAACAACATAGAAAATTTGTTCTTAAAAAGAATAAAGCTTATAAAAAGAATACATCTTTGTAAAAACCAATCATTAGAGGTTGGCCTAAAAATTGATTGGTGCGTCTTTGATAAAAATATAAACTTTGCACACAGAGTTCACATAAACTTATACTGATATGTAGCTCAGAACAATGTATCAGGATTTGGTAAAGACATTTTTTTAAGGGCTGAGTTATTATAATGGAGAAAAATCTGATGTGTCAGAAGTTTCAGTTTTCTGAGGGAGGCAATCCTCTTTCCT